ATATATATATATATATATATATTTGCTGAAGTATTTTATTCGCAATACTCAATTTCAGATGCATCGATTTTTCGTATTTTAGAAAATTGAACTAATAATAAAATGAGAAATATAAACTTGTGCGCATCGAAAAATAAAGAGAACGAAGTGAATATAAGCGAAGGAATGTGAATTTCTTCTTCAAAAGGAGAGATGCAATATATCGACTAATCGCATTAAGTTATCTATGCAATTATCGCATCTCTGACGCGGATTTTCTCGTTAATTGCCTCTTTTTTCTCCGTTTCCATAAATCCAGCTTATGTCGACGAAGAGGGCTAGATTGCTGGTGGCCACCGTTTGGGTTTCGAGCTTCGTTATCTGTTTTCCACCTCTAGTGGGCTGGAAGGACAAACGGGTGCGTACTAGCTACAACTAATCCGCCTTCGCGCTGTTATTTCGGAACGATTTTCAATCGACGTCTGATCGATCCTGGCCGGATTTAGTCTGCACGCGTTTTTAATCGCTTCTCTGTTCTCGTAGTCGCATACCACGTACAATGACACGTTTCCTCTATATGGCCCGTCCAACACCACCACTATACTCGTGCCGATGAAGCCATGCCCATGGATCTGCGAACTGACCAACGACGCCGGCTACGTTGTTTACAGGTAAGTCCCTCAAAGACCCTTGGCTTCTCATTATATACGTATTGGATTATGTCGCGTAATATTAATAGCGAGAAATTTACATAGATACTTTTTTTTTGCTTTATATATCGGAATATATTACCTTTTCATTATCCGGCTAAATACCAGAGTGCCATAAAAACGGCAAAATGTGTCGGGAAAAATTCTTTTAATGTCTTTCCTGCATTAAAGAGATATTATTCAATTTATCGGCGTAAAATTTTTTAATTTATTTCAACATACGTTATAGGATCAAAATATAGAATAAAAATCGTGTTTTAAATTACATCTTTTTATTTAAATATATAAAAAAAATAATATTGCGATAATTTTGAAGACAACAATTTCACCAATTAAAGACCTTAATTTTGAAGCAGACATATATATTGACATTTTCACAAGATAGAAACAATCTCTTTTTATATGAATCACTCCTGACATTTTACCTCTGTTTTAAAAATGGATGAGCCACTCGAGAAATCGCAGAATTATATTATAACAACAATATTATACAACATTACTCTAAATTAAATTTGAAATAATTGAATGAAACTCTATATAAGGGCAATGAGCTTAGCATGTTGTTAGTGCGACAATCTAATTTATTTATCCAAATCGAATTACAAATATATTCCATATGTTTCAGAATCGTTCTGTGAGAATCGAAACGTATGGAACATATTTGTAATTTGATTTTGATAAATAAATTAGACCATCCCACTAGGCTCATTCCCCTTGTATAGAGTTTTATTTAATTATTTATTTGTTCGAGCCTTAGGAGACTTTGTTAATTTTTAAATTTGAAATTTTATAGACTATAAGACTATCTCAATAATAACAGTTTTAAATTAAAAAATGTAAAATTTTCTAGCTCGAGATTGTTAAGCAAAAATTAATAAGTAGAAAGGTAAAAAAACAGAGATAAACAGTTTTACCTCTGTCACCGTATTATATACGTCAATTAGGATGTTATCTATATATACATTATACGATACCGATCAAAAAGCTAATATATAAACGACTGATACGTTTTGAGTGCTTGCCAGTGACACGTGTTTCTCGATTGGATTGTCTTGTCCATTATTAAAACCAATAGCTAAATTAATATTCGCGATAATATATAGTTTCATCTATGTATGTGTGTCAAACTGCACGAGCTGACTACACGTAAAAGTGTCCGATATGTTATCACGAAATGGGGAACTACGATTATCAGCAGTGTGACAGGAAATCACAATCGCAACTGTGTTGCAGTGCTCTAGGCTCCTTCTATATACCAATGCTGGTGATGCTATTTTTTTATTGGCGAATCTACAACGCCGCAGTTTCCACGACGAGAGCTATTAATCAAGGTTTTCGGACAACAAAAGCCTCGAAAATGCTTGGCAGCAGGTAAACTTCCGCGTCAGTTTTTTTTCCATAACTTCCGTTTACTTGACTAATAAATTTATTTTTTACAATCCTGTAATCCACTTTTATCACACATTTATTTGTGTTGCTTTTATGCGATCGATGTACAATGAATATTGTAAATATTGATCATTTTGCATCAATTACCTTTTTAATCGAGCATTCATATAAATTTAGAAAGTTTATATTAAGTTTAACATTTTTTTACATGTCTCAAACGATCCATCCAAATAGTTTTTGTGTTATATAGTTTAACACAAGATGAATATGTTAAAACACAAACATTATGTAAAAATTAACATTAAAAAATGTAACACTCTCTTAGAAATAAATTATAGAAATATATAATTTTCTTCAATAAAATATTATATTTATATATATTCTTCAATAAATTAATATGTACATTCATCTTTTATTTATTTATCTTAAAATTTATGCTTTAAAATTATATAATTTTTTGTACTTGTTCACTTACTTGTAAATCGTATTATTTTAAGAACTATTAAACATTAATTTGACACTAACATGTTAAAAATTTAAATAAACATATATATTTTTATAAGGACCAGTTTTAACACAAAAAAATACAAAACGGTTTTTACTGTGTATCTTATCACACGCTAATTATTCTACCAATATAATTTTTTAATATTATGTATAAAACAAATTATCATCTTTTATTATCATTCCTTTTTAATGAAATGGCACTGCAAATAAAATTTCCTACATTTTAATATGTTTTTCCACTCTTTGTTCTCTCGAGTCGTCATTTCATTCGCGGGTCTGTGGTTGAGCTTCTTCTCCGCGAGAGAAAGGAAGTCTTTTTATAGAAGCTTCATGCTGCCAACAGGCATAAAATGCCTATGCAAGAACACAACGCATTTTCCTATTCTTATGCAGGTTCGACGAACAAAGACTGACCTTAAGAATACACCGTGGCCGAGGTAGCGTCCACAACGGCAGTAACAACGGCAATTCGAGAAGTCCGGACTCGAGCAGCCGCAGCTCCGTGAAACGAGAAAAGATCAAGATCTCAGTCTCCTATCCCAGCACCGAGACGCTCAACACGAAGTGCAACACCCTCGAAAGGACACCGTCGAGATGTTCGCAAATCTCGGTCCATTATAGCAACGGACAGACGCAGACGCAGCTTTGTCCAGCCTCGCGAAACACGCATCTTAAGGTGAATTAGATCTTAATGAGTTCCATTTATATGACCAACCTGAGGATGTAATTAACTGCTTCAGATGCACGAATTCCTTTTTAATTTTCCGATCTTGTCCTTTTTTAAGAAATGGTGTTTTACTCCTTCAAGATTACATTCTTAACGTATAATTTTATCATTTCTATATCATAGAAACTATTTCGAAACGAACTATATTAAAGATTCATACATTTTTTATTACTGTATAATTATAATATAATAACACGAAGTTTGATCGAAAGATAGAATCTACGGCTCTCCGTTGGAAGTGATGTTGGACATGTGTAAATTTCACGTTCCAGCACTACATTCCTGATGACATGTTGTCGGTGCAATTTTAAGTGCATACGCTTTTTATTGGTGACTAATCGATGGCATTTTGCAAAATGAAACGAATCAAGGATCACTTTTTCGTTTAATAAAACCGAAGCACTCGTTCGATCGAACGTGGCTATCGAGCCGTATAAATTCACTCTTTTTCCTCTTTTCCCTCGCTGTTTTGTTTCACGAGGATCTCCGAGCTTTTATTTGCCGTTTAAATCGTCGATCGTGATTATTCTCCCGCATGTGAGTCGGTATCGTGCGGATTTACAGACGGATAAAACGAAGCAGGATATGGACACGTACCTGTTTTGTTGATGGCTTTCATGTCATGCGTAATCGTTGGTATCGATAAATATAAATATATATATATATACCCTTTAGAATTCTAATGTATTGTCGAAAATAAAGATCTACACAAACGATCAGGATAAAATAATGACTAGAATATCTCTGTGCTTGCGTCTAATTGTAAGTATGAATAATTAAATTTCCATTCCTGGCAGAAAACACGGAAAGAATGGTTTTGTTAAAAGATTTATAAATTTAGCTAGATACAAATCTAAAAATAATTTCATTAGATCATCAAAATAATTATGTAGACCGCACAAGCCAGTTGCTACACTATTAAATTCATAATCTCAAATTATATCCAATTTGAGTTGTTGTTAATTATTTCTATAGGTCGCCACTCCTACTCAATATGTCGTTAATTTAACTGAAATTATGGAATTAAATAATTTAACTCAAGGAATTGTAGATTAAATTTAACTCAAATTTAGTTTATTGTTCACTATAAATGCATATGTTAATAGGAACGTTGTTTATTTTGAAACTAACCGAAAAAATGGATTGATTTACATGTTGACTAAATTAAATAGAAGTTAATAAAATAAAAAAATATTTAATTCTTAGCATTATCTGTTGCTTTGATATTTAACAATGCGAAAGGTCAAAACTTTTTAGAGTATTGTATACATCCTACGCATTCATTTTAATAGTCGAATAAAAAATTATTTCCAGATCTATATATATTTGGTTAAATTTTTTAATGCTTCAGCAAAGTCATTGTTTCTGTATATAAATCGCACTGTACAGTAGTTATCTATTTCATGTTTCGTCCGTAAAAAAATGCGGGATATCGAATTTTCAGCCCAATATGATCACGTATTGTTATAGCGAGCTTTTGACAACAGTCTGGATGTTGCTCGTGTTCGTCATGAAAGTTTTACGGCGTCTGTAAATCTCGTGCGAAAGTGAATCTGTATTTTATAGGCGCACGTGATGTTTACGTGAGTGTGTGCGTGTGTCGGAGTCGTAAAGGCCGACTTGTTAAATCCCCTTTCAGGTCGGTGGTGTCAATAGGGTCGGCAGCAGCAAAAGAACAAGCAGGCGGAGCAGCTGCGAGAGTCAGGTGACCGGCGACGAGTTGTCGTTGCGCGAGATGACGCCGAGCAACGAGGAGAAGCCGCGAGTGATGAAGCTTGGCAAGAGAAACATAAAAGCCCAAGTGCGTTTCTCATGTCGGCTCGTTTTTATCGCTTTCACACTTTGGCTATCGAACCTATTTTTCAAATGTTCCATAAAAACGTACAAACAACATCCGATAATGTCGTAAGACTTCATATGACGGAAATTCATTTTTATCTCAGTCGGCGTAGTGATAACTAGTCGATTACTGTCGGAATTAATTTATACTGCGTAGACTGATCAAAATATGAATGCATATTATAAAAGAGATAACATACTTATTGTTGAAAGCAGAGTGCAAAGTTAATATCTTTCTCACTGTTAAATATTAAAAGATCAAATTTGAACTAATTTCTTAAGTTAAATAGCATTTTGTTATTTTGAACTTCCAAAGTGTATAAAATAAATGATTTTAATACAAAATATAAGGTTAAAAAAAACAATCATATCTAATAACCCATTTCTGTGGTTGAATCGCTTAGTTTTAAAGGAAACGGCATTCGTATTTTAAGGCATACATCAGTAAATAATAAACCGAATTTGAATCAAATTTAAAGCATTTCTTAAATTAAGCTGTTTAAATTATATTTTAGTTTTAGTTAAATTAAGAACATACTAATTGGAAGTACCGGCGGCTTATAATAATTATTAAAACTGATTCAAATTAGGGGGGTATAATTTGACATTATAATTTGATTGAATTTAAGTGCACTTTGTTAAAAGTAAACATTAATTTCAAGTTAATTTTATTATGATATTTTATTATAATACGCATTTATGTTTTAATAGAGTAAAGGATATTTAAAATATGTCGGTTGCCTCGATATTTGAGACCAAATTATACGCAGGTGAAGAGATTTCGCATGGAAACGAAGGCGGCGAAGACCCTGGGTATCATCGTCGGCGGCTTCATCTTGTGCTGGCTGCCTTTCTTCACCATGTATCTGGTGCGCGCGTTCTGTCCGAATCACATCCATCCAACCGTCTTCAGCGTACTGTTTTGGCTAGGATACTGCAATTCCGCAATAAATCCGTGTATCTATGCCCTCTTCAGCAGGGACTTCCGCTTCGCTTTCAAGAGAATCATCTGCTGCAAGTGCTCCTGCATACAACGCGCCAACACCTTGCGACGTGGCAGTGACGGCAGTCAATTGGCAATGAGGTCAGTGTTACAATTTGTATTACAAAATGGATGCATTCTGCTATTTATTTTTGCAAGCACGTATAAAGGAGACATTTAAATTGCAATTTGTATGACAAAATGCGTGAAACGGTATTGCATTCTACGGTTTATTTTTACGCGAATTTTGTCTCGTAAAAGAGAGGAAGTTTAAAAGAATTAATCATTTTGTCTATGTTTTAAATTTAAAAAAAAAAGGTTTAAATTTAGAAAATCTCTTATTATGTCAATATTATGGCGTATCTATCCGATTATCATCCGTATTTGTTGCATTTATACGCAAAGGAAGTTTTAGAAATACGGTCCATATAAAAGAAAATTCTTAAATTTCATCACGTTTTATGTACCGTAAACGGTGATATATATCATCAAGTTCTATATGGCGACCAAATGTTTTCATGAAAGTATTTTCCCTGGATTATATAATGCGCGATAAATTCGGTGGCTCGGTTCTAAAATAACCAATTTTGGTTAAATCGAGTTGAAGACTATGCTTCCTGAATATTTTTTAGACTTTAAACTCTAATTAGCTCGAGAGAGGTTTGCTGTTTTGTAAGAAATCTATAGAATGATATTCGCACCACCGGTATGTCTCACGGGAACGATTCTGCGTGTGTTCTCGTAGGAACGAACGAAGCCCGAGTTACTCGATTCGCACGGCTCAGCACGGGACCTCCATCGACGACTCGGATCCGGATCCGTCATTGGAGGCGAGCCATTCGCAGAGTGAGTCCAGATGATTGTAGCGACACGTCCGAGCTGGTACGCAGCGCGTCACCTTCAATCCCCGATCCTCGAAAGCGAGGATATTCTCATTCTGATGACGGTAGTGCTCCGAGAGCCGCGCTCGACACTTCCTCGTGGCCCTCTGCACGTCATAACGACGATGAGTCGCGGCCACTTTGACGCTTAGTGTGCCAACGTAAATCAGTTTCTCCATTCTACCAGACTAATGTTGCGTCAGCAGTTCCCGTAAATTAGAACACTCGGGTGAAACTGGAAACTCCCAGACTCTATCTCCGTCTCACCGCGAATGTACGAAATCGGTAGGCGAGTAACAGTCAGATAACAAGCGACAAGTAAGATGGGTGAGCAACGTGCCACTTGCTTAACTTGTCTCGTTACTCTGTCGTCGAAAAGAAAAAAAAACCGATGCTTAGCTTGTCTACGTATAATCTCGCTACAATGGCGACTTTACGCCAGGTCAACAGGGCTGTAATACTCGGGTAGTTTCTTGAGTGAGGTGAGCAAATAATTTACTGCTTGATCTGCTCCCTTGCTAAATCGCGTGATCTCGTAAGAATTCACACAAAATCAGCGGAGGGGTAAGTCAAGCAGAGGATTGCTTTCCTCGTTTTTTTTTGTCATCTACTACCGTTGGAAGGAAAGGAAAAGCAAAGAAAAAGGAAAGCAAGCTAAATGCTGTGCGATTTGCCTTTGCACTGTAATTGCGACGAAGTCGACGGAAACGGAGTACCAGGTGGAGCTTTGCGATACGCGTCTACGCGGAATTGGATTCCAGCGCGATAGACCCAGAACGCGGCGCTTCATCTGTAAGAAGCGAAAGAAAAAGAAGAAAAGGAAAAATCGACTTCCCTACGCAGATCTTATGTAGGAACGCGCTTCCTCGCGATAATCGTCGCTACGCTTCGATTTGTACTTTTGGGCTACGCGAGAAGCTTCGCATGCGGTTTATATCCTTCATAAACGACCGTCTTCTTGCGTCCGGTAGACGCAATAAATTATCCGACATAATTATGATGAATTCGGTCATTCACTGGTTAGTGCACATTTTTAAAAAAAGGCTGCTTTATATAAAGTATCTAAATGCATTGGCATTTAATACAATTAACTTTGATAATGAGATAATACGTGTATATTCTGTTAAATAACTTAATATCATTATTGGATATTTAATTGTTCAAAATCATGTACAGCAGCTTTTAGTGTGCATTAATCTAGTGTGATGCAAATGACCGAATTTGCTATTAGTATATACGTTACGTGTGTCCCGCGCAGATCACCGGAGAATGATCGGTCGTTTACTATACCAGGAGATGATAATCTCCAATAATTTCGAATAATATGTATGCAATCGGTGTGCCTTCTTTCGTCATCCCCGTAATAGAGTGCACCGTTTTTGCGACGAGAGAAAGTTATCCGCTCTCTGTTCTTCCAGACGCACAGAGTCATTTTGCAACGTTATTTATTTGTTTCGATATATGTTATTCGCACAAGCGAATTACACGTCGTGTAGCTTCTAGTCTCTCAGTCCGAAACCTATCCCGGTTTCGTGCGGACGATCGAATCGGCCGATCGACTCCTATAATTCGTCTTGATCGTTCGCAACGTCTGCATGGAAAGAATAATTTTGATGAAGTATTTAAAAATTTAGTTAGATACAGATATCAAAATAATTTTGTTAAACCATCAAAATAATTACGTATACCATTGGAAAATTTATGTTAAACTTAACATACTTCACATATTCCAAACGGTCCACTTAATTTTATCTATTCATTTAACACAAGATGAATATGTTAGGAAGTAACGCAAATATGTATTATTTAAGAATATAAATACAAAAAAGAGATAATACAGATACAATTTGTAAATAAACCGTAGAAACGTATTTTTTTCAGTAAAATTAATATTTGTGATATATTAAACTAATACATATTTATTTATCTTAGAATTTACGTTTTAAAACCAAATTGTGTTATTTTGACACTAAGAAATATTGAATATCAATTTAACGCAAACTATTTAAATAACATAATCACATTGTGTTAAATTAATACTCAAACATGTTAAAAGAAATTCAACGCAAAAGTTTAACAAGGACTTGAGTGATTGGACCGTTTTCAACACAAACACGAGATATTTTTACAGTGTAAAAATCTCAAGCAATGCTGCAAAAAATTTAACATTCTAGCCAGTTTGAGCGTTTTATATAATTATTTTGATGCGTCAACAAAATTATTTTTAGAACTGTATCTAACTAAATTTTTAGATATTTCAACAAAATTGTCCTTTCCATATGTCTGTATGTGTGTGTGTGTGTGTGTGTGTGTGTGTATTTTTGTATGTGTGTTTGTGTGTGTATTCCGCCACGCATTCGTCCTACGTCGTTATCGAAGATTTGCGCATTGAGAAATTGAGAATCATCGAGAAATAATTCTCAAGCCGGGAAAGAAAGTACACTGTGAGAAAAAATATAGTCAATTTTAATAAATATTTAGTTCAATACTGCCAACTAAACATTTACTTATAGTAAATAAATATTTGTTCAGTAAAAAAAAATTATTGTTAAATCAAATTAACATTTCTTGTATCAAATAAATATATCTTTATATTTAGTAAATATTTAGTTGGCAGTATTCAACTAAATATTTATTAAAATTGACTATATTTTTTTTAGTGTAGAAGTTGGACAATCGGCTCGCGTCCGATCGGGAACAAACGTCTGACAGGCACAACGACAGACAAACGAGTGACGCAGACCTCCTGTGTACATATCGATATCTATTTGTGCGCAACAACACGCTAAGTATGTCGTTACATCTTCTATATGAACCGATATTCACGTGCACGTTCGCATAAATCGGCGTTTCTCCTCCCCTTCCCCTCCCCTCCATTCTCCTCCATCTTTCTTCTTTTATTCATTCCAGCGATTCTCCGGAATGCATCTGAAATAAGATCGCAACTCTTCGCTGCCATCGATCTATATGTTTCTTTTTATCCCGCGTGTATCAATTGTACGGCAAACATTTGCACCGCGTCGTCGTCGCCGCGCATGCAAAATGCACATGTATTACTTTATACAATGGAGCAATGTCGCGATATTGTGCTGGGCGACGCCACGTCTTAAGAAAAATTCGACGTCTCGTTCTCACGGAATCTTCCGGATTTATTCTCCCTTCTGATCGCTGTCATAGCTTTGCGCAACTGTAATTCAACAGGGGCGGCGAGACGACCGATCGATTTAAAGAAAAAAATTGCGTGATTCATGTATTATGTGATATCGTATAAATAAGTAAAAAAGTATCACGGATGGAAATAAATATATGAGTATAAACAAATCCGTGGTCTCTTCCACAATTTGTATTACATACGCTCGGAAATTCAGCGATGCAGCACGACTCGTTTTATGGTACGTATTAAATCAATACTATTAAAAATTAAAAAAAAAGAAAGGATACCAGAATTCTCTGTTTTATAACATCGTATAATTTTTTTTAGATATATCTAGTTATCTAAAAAATGATTGTTTATATATATCGCTAAAGTTTACCCTCAATTAAGAGTATTTTCTGTAATTATATATGATTATACCAGGAGCACAACTTACCCCCCCTCTCTCCGTGAATATTCCTTTCTAGATTTTAAAATCACGTCTGGAAGTAATTAAGTTATTATAATTACGCGCTACTGCAGGTGACTTATAAAATATTCATGATATACAAACGAGTTACAACCATACTTCTACAATTGAACATTTCGATTCAGTGATTATTTTATTAAGTTTCGTTATGTTTCCCTCGCTACTGGATCTTTCGTCGGGATCCTAATTTGCGTCCCGTACAACTCGATCTGAATCTCCTCGAAGCTTCTGCCCTTCGTTTCCGGCACCATCACAGAGACAAATATGGTTCCGATTAAACTTATCATGCCGAATGTAGCGAATGACGAGGAGATTCCCATGAGATTCACCATGTCCTGAAAGTACTTTGTCACGAGAAAGGCCAACGTCCAGTTGCACATCACGGCAGTGTTTGCCACGCTCTTCACGTTGTTTGTGAACAACTCCCCAACCATCAACCATGGTACGGGACCAAAGCCGATACTGAAAATTACGATGAATATTGCGAACGAGAGCAGAGGGATCCAGGAGAAGTTCGAGAGGTCGTGAGAGCTCTGAAACAATCGAGAGAAAAGCAAATCAATCTAATTAAGAAATTTTAATGTAGAAATATGAAATTGCAAACTGATATACGATTAAAAATTATTATTGATAATCATTAATATTTTTAATCAAATATTTAAAGAATTACAAATTTGTAATTAAAATTTGTATTTATATTTAATTAATTAATAGCTTGTTACCTGGAAACGAAAATACCCTGACATTGTGAACATACAAACTGCCATCACTGACGCACTGATGAATAATAATAGCTTTCTGCCGACGCGCTCAATCAAAACGGTCGAAAAATAGGTAGCAATCACTTGTACGGTACCCATTATTACTGATGACGTAAATGAGCTCAGAATTGAGCCCGCATCGTCGAAGATCTTTTTTGCGTAGAATATCAGAATGTTAACACCGGAGAGTTGTTGGAAAAACATTAGACCTGAAACATTAAACATTGAATTAAAGCTAACATAATATATGTTTAATTCAATGTTTAACGTTTGTGTAATATACCTAAACAAAATCAGATAAAGTTGATAAAATTAAAAAATAGAATAATTAGTTATTGCAATGAAAACATTCAGTAATCGATTTAATTCGCAACTAATTACTAATTAAACTAAATCTTTTACCGAGTATAATGAAGGTCGTTCTTTTATAATTCTTCAAATCCGAAATATTGGGTTCGATTTCTCGCATTTCTGAGGCTTGAAGCTTGAGCCTGGTCAATTCCGCTTCAATGTTAGAACGACTTCTCCTGAAGTGTTTTAGCACAATATTTGTCTCGTTCTTCTGTCTCTGCATAACCAGCCACGCCGGTGATTCCGGTACGAATGGGAAGAAAATCAAAAGCAAAGCGGGCACCACGGAACAAAGTATCGCGATGACATGCAAGCTATCGGTAAAAGCTGCAAACGTCACCGCTTATCATTTCAGGAAAGTTATACAGTCGTGTGTAACAACTAGAATTCTCGCGACTTGAAGTTCATCTATCATTACAAACACCTTCAAACTATGTACAATAAAGTCAAGTTCTTTATAATGACATCTTCCTTTAATTCTTTGTGTCATTAGATATCTGATATTACAGATGTTTAAATAAAGAGCTATGTTTACATATTGCAGTAAATTAAAACTGAAAAAAGTGAATATTCAACTAAATAATTTTTTATAAAGCTTTTTTATTATTAATGTCAATTATTTTACATCAGTTTGGCCAATTAATATATCATTGTTATAATAGAATACAATATACATTCGAGAAAACAATATACATTTTAATCAATGTGTCTCTGACTTTAATTGTAGATTTTAGATGCTTTCCAGCAACGAAACACAATAATATATAATGTCAACTCATAACTGAAATGTTGCTTAGCTTTTTTATTTCATTGCCAGAGTGAAATAAAGAAAAGGTTTTGTATACCTACGTCCGAATATATTTGAATATAATCTTAAAACCTCTTATCAGAGTATCATTTCTAGGAAAATAAATGGTAATAAAATGTAAAAATTTCGTATTCATAAAGTAACATAAAAGAACGACACAGTCGAACATAGCATTTTAGCTGCGTACGTTTGTATCAGTTGAAAAGCACGGAATTGTGTTACATAATGTTGCTCGAAAGGATTGTAGAGTATCAAAGACATGGCACATGTCATAAAATTATCCAATGTTATATTTAGGAAAGTGCTTCTTTACCAGTAGAATATGCGAAGAGAATTCCGACGGTAATCTGCAATTGAAAAATGATGCCAGGCAAGCCTCTAATGTTCTGCTCGGCAATCTCAGAAGCGAACATGGGAACAACGACAGATGCTGCACCGCATGCTGCTCCCGCAACAAACCGAGCCAGGAAAATCCTTTTGACGGAAAAACTCGATTACGTAATGTAAATAGAAAATCGATGAAACCGTACGGTAAAGTCGCTATCGCTGACTGGGAATGCAGTCAGTGCAATTAATGGAAACGTCCATGGCGGACGGCAGACTTCAACGAAAGATTTCGTTTATTAATTGTTTAGACTTATTAATTTCTCTGCCACTCTTATAGAAATTTAATATCGGCCAATTTATTACTGAAAGACAGCAATTAATTAATTTAAAGGAGTAATTAATTACTTATTTGGAGTACTAAAAAAAGTATTGAACAACAATTAAATATTTAATATTTAAGATAAGTAATTAATTTCTGTCTTTTAGTATTAAATTGATCAGTATTAAGGAGAGTAATTGAGTAATTTTCCAGCTTTAAAAAAATGGAGTCATCTGATCTTTCTTATTTTTTAACACGAGAATATAAAGCATGCAAAATGCCATTGCTATCTTCTAAAAAATAAATAATTAACAAAATTTTAGCAGTAATATTGTAATTTGTTATTAAAAAATTTTCTTTGTAATAAAAATAAATATTCACGTGAAAAATATTGAAGACAAATCGTTTATAACAATTATTTAAATTTAATTTAAAAATTAATAATTTTTACGGAAAACGACGTTACCATGTTTCCATTAATGTAAAAATATGGCAACGTTATATTTAAAGATATAGTGACGTTATATTTAAAGAGAATTGAACATTTTATACCCTTGCACGAAAATGATATGGTAAAACTTTATTTTTTTAATTCCAAAATGTTCTTAAATTCTGTTCTTTTATATCTATGATTTCTCTTCAAAATTTTTATATTTTGTTTACAATTAAGTTACTTAAAACCTTCCTTCTCATAGGAATTTGAGCTACTTTAGAAAATTATTTAAAGAAAATTGCACAGTCCAAAAATTAAAAAAATATGAGTGCCTACGTATTACCTATTTATTCTCAATATGTATTTGTGTGTGTGATTGAATCCTTAAATTATATGAAAAGATTAGAATATCTCTTTAAATTGGCTAATAACATTAAATTTCTGTACGGGTAATTGAATCATTGTGTAAATTAACGATCCGTTGAAGATAGGAATTGGATATATATTATTTTTTATTTTGGTGTAATATTTGGTATTTTCTGTTTACAACACACACACACAACACACACACATGCCAGCGAAAAAAATACGCGCGTTAATATTTTACACGAAGCGTTCTTTTCCAATATAATATAATTCCAAATATAGGACTAGAATTTCATTATTATTACCACGAGAATAAAAATACTGAATGAAATGCTGAAGTCAAACCGTATAATCTACAATGAATCCAAACAGAACACATGATATTAAAATGATTCCAAAATGGTTACTATTTTGATCATTTATGATTCATTTTAATATCATTTTGGCTTGTTATTCTGTTTGGGAACCTTCTTACCATATTTTACTCTGTGCAAATCCGATGATATACCAACAAAGAAATAAAGGCACGGTCGTCATCCAAATCATCTTCTTCCGACCAATCCTATCCGCAAACATTCCCGTCGGAATAGCAGTTGGAATAGCACCAAGAGGGACCAAAGAAGAAATCCAGGAGCCTTCCTGATCGCTGACAGACAGCGTATCGTTCGTGTTATAAAGTGGCAAGGCGGACGACGTCCATGACAAATATGTGCCAATCGAGAACGCGGCGAGTGTCGCTAAGCGGTAACAGAAAGTAAATGTCAGACACATTCCATCTTGTAAAATTCCTCTTGAGGAATATTCTATTTGATCTGTGTCGCGAAATATTTTATCTTCGACAACGTTCTGTTCTGAGAATTCTTTCTCTTCACGCTACTCTTGATATCTTCCGCTCGGAGATATCCCATAGGTACGCAGCGACGAGAACGCAAAGTTAAATTACAGTCAGATGTCTATCGAGAGAGTTTTAACTAGAGAGACAAACTTTCGATTAAATTAAGAGACGCGAAAATTAATGCAGCAATCGCGTGTAATAGCTTTGAGCTTTTTTTTCCAAAGTCGCTTTGAAGCTCCCAGAGGGAGCTACATAAATGAAGGCAGATTTACACCGTTTTTTATGACCGTTAAAATCTATCTGTCCCCTCTAAGCGCTCATACGCTGGATTCTGTTTTTCAACTATCTCGCTTCTATTAAATATTCATGCGTAAATGCAGTCACATCTCAATATCGTGCGAGTTCGCGAGAGGATTAAACGCCCACCCACACAAAACTCACCCACAAGCACGCCCACGTATTGCGCGCATTTCGAAGTCGGTCGCTCGCACGACGATCTCTCGTCACTCTGTGCAATTAAAACCATTGTGCATGTACGAGAATCGAGCGATCACTTTAGCCACTTAAAACACTGCGCAAAATCGAACGGTGCTCGCCATCGATACTCTGCACGTGTGCGCGCCAATGCGATGGTCCAACGGCATTAAAAATAATACGTCATCCATCGAATACCGCAGACCGACTAATTCTAATTCACGTTCTTCCGCGGTGAGACTTTCTTATCAGCACCCGTACCGATATCGGCGATTCGGTTGTAACCCCAGCGCTTACGTCATGGCCAGAGTCGAGTCTTATATCAAGTCAGAAGTAATCTATGTACTATTATCTGTAGTATTATATCTTCGCCTCGATATTTTACGCATCTCTCAGACTCAAGCGATATAATTGTGTGCGAATAAGTTCATCTGCCGCTATTCAGACTGCGTTTGTGTTACTTTGGTGACGACGTTTGAAACGTCGCTTTTCAACGCGTCCACTTCCGTTTTCATGACGCGCTCAGTTGAACAAATTGCGTAAGAGGTGTTGTTTCTCAAATTCAAGTATATTATTTAATCCTTTCGCGAGAACAGAAATACTGACACTTGATATTTCGATAATTCATCCCAGAACATGACTGAATCGTATAATAATATTACCAACAATCATAATAATAATAATATAATCATTATAACAATAATTTAACTTATTATATGTAAAAATATCTTTATGAACGTAATTTTTACATGTCTAAAAAATTCATTAAGAGATATTTGAAATTCGAAGATACAACGAGATTTTAAAGAGAAAACGTAAAAATGCCTGCGTAATTTATTGAAAATTTATTAAATTTATTGAAAATTGCGTATAGTAAAAATTTAATTTTTTAAATAAAATTTAATTTCCTTTTTAATTCTCTTAAGAAAATAATTTACATTTTCAATAAAGATATGGGTAATTATTCAGTTTAGCTACCGCACCTCAAAAATCAATGAAATTAGGCTTATTCAACGCGTTTTTGCATGAAACGAAAGAATCTGACAGAAAAAAGTGTCGCTCTGCCCTGCGAATTGAGATATTAAGCGTTAAAGTTAACAACTATTGAGATTAGGAAATCTGTCACAGGGGTAAAATAAGGTCTATAATTGTACTGTTCTATATAGGTTTCGACTTTCCACGCGAAGCGACTCTCACTCCCGACTCTCACCCCTCTCCCCCCTGCAAAGGGGCGCACAACTTCTATAATTGTAGTTATTGAAGATAGAAAATCATGTAGACGGTGGAGTGTATAGATTAGTGCCTATTGGTTCGGGGCGGCTACGCAGTGGCCCTCATTTCGCGTAGAAAGTTGTAAATCCATGTCGTTTCGCGTTAAAAAAACCTAACCCTAAAAAAAGCCAACTCATTTTTTGATGCGAGATGGCCCTCATTTCGCGTAGAAGATTGTAAACCTATGTAGAACTTTGCTTCTTGAATGTACTTTCCACGCGAAAGTAAAAAATGGGTTAGGGTTGGGTTAGGGTTAGGTTTTTTAACGCAAAACGACATGGATTTACAACCTTCCACGCGAAATGAGCGCCATCTCACACCAAAAAAATGGGTGAAAAACGATTTTGTGTCGCAGTATTTTGCGACAGTGACAGATTTCCTAACCTCAATAGTCGTCAACTTTAACGCTTAATATCTCGGCTCACAGGGCAGAGCGACACCTTTTTTTACCAGATTCTTTCGTTTCATGCAAAAACGCGTCGAATAAGCCTAATTTTATTGATTTTTGAGGTGCAGTAGCTAAACTGAATAATTACCAAGATATAAATATTTAAAAATATTGCACACATTAAGTTATAAGTATAAGTAAATCTATTGCAATTATTTATTTGGTTTATTCATTTTATACAGAAATAATCGAGAGAGAATAAAGAAGAGACAGGAGAATGTAAAGATAACAGTAGTAGACTGCATTTTTCTTCTGTATTTACGTAATGTAATCAATAAGTGCAATCTACTAACAATCTTGAAAACATGACATCATTAACGCTTTTCGATTGTCCTAAAAACAATAAAAGAAGAATATTCACGAAACGAAAAATAATTTACTTAGTCGCGATTGAGCTCGCGCATAGAGTAAGCTTACCATTACAAAAAAAAATAAAGTTAGGAAGATACTCGAATACGAATCAAGTCCATTCCTTCGCGTTTCCGCAAGAACAATCATTGAACAAACTCGAGAAGCATTCGTGTAATGTTTCCTCAAATTCCCGACACCGATACTTATTACGCGAGACGATACATTTGAATGCAAATCTTCGTTTTGCTTCTTTCGTATCGCGAGTATTTATCAACAAAAGCAATCAAAAGCTATTATTTAACGACTCTTGATTGTTTTTATTAAATACACGGGTATATATGAATTTATTTTATTTTTTCATCTTTTTATCTCTTAATTGAAGTGAATTTTTTAATAATTAAATTTACAAAAATATATGCCGTTTCTTTTTAGAAAGCTTTAAAAAATTCAACAATATATTTTATTCTTTATTCTTCTACGAGATTGAGATCCGCTAACTAATTGGAAATTCAAGAAAGAAAATTGTATACGGTATTAATATTTGATACATGACATCGCGCTTCGAAGATGAACTTTTACGCCCCATGGGACATTTTCTACGATGCCGACATGATTATCACTTCGCTTCGGGTAAATTAGTTGCCATGACTCTGAATCCATTGTGATCGGCGATGTAATGCACCTGCTGAAGAATTCCATTGGGATCGATGTAACTATAAGCTCCCCTAGTGGTACCATCGAGCGACCTGGATTCGGTTTTGGCGCTCGAGTCTCCGGTATAACTGTAATCGTATTGGCCCAGAGAGTCCTGGGTGTGATGCAGCGAGCTGTGAAGTAATCTGTAAGGCAGTACCGGAAGTACATAAGGTGCAGGCAAGGCTACCCGTTTCTGGATATTGGAGAGCGGCAGCAGCTTCCCCAGATGCAAGGCGTTCTGATTAGATGTTCGTTCGTCATCCTTGAGAAACGTGTTCTCCCTTAATGACGTCGTGGTAGGTAATGACGAAGCAATGGTGGTGATGGTGGGACCCGAAGACGTGGGCGATACCTTCGAGAGACTCGGATCCGGCTTGGGAACATTGATTCTCTCTGCCTCCGATCTTGACAATAAGAATGGATTGTTGGTAGCCTAAAAAAGAAGAATCGAATAAAAGAAATATGGACATAGTATACGAAAAGAAGTTACTAAACGTTATTTTAACATTGGATAGATATGAATTTATTTGGAACGTAAATTGGAATATTTTATAATAATATTATAAAATGTCATTTTATAATATTAGTTTAAATTACTTTATACAATATGTTGATTACATTCTATTAACCCATTAAGGCCCATGCCTAATACAGCAGTGATAGCGCCAAACTGGATACGTAATTCATAGCATAAGCGAAAAAAAAACCCGTTTATAACCATTTTTTGCATAAACAAAACACCAGATCGAAAAAATACCAAGAATAAAAATTTCTTGTTTTCGAATATAGAATCGAATTGCACTTTTAGTTTTTAAAAAATGGGCATTTTTAAACAATCTGTTTTAACAATTATTATTTAAACAATCAGTTTTGTAAAACGAAAAAATACGGGTAGTTTTATTTTCGCTTATGCTATGAATCATGTATTCGGTTTGGCTGTATTAGGCATGGGCCTTAATGGGTTAATCACAATTCACATTTTTAGATCAGTAGAATTTTTGTATTGTTATAAAATAATATAGAGAAAAACTGTATGTATATATTTTTTATTATTTATTTTATTGTGTTATTATATTGTTTTATGTTTTTATTATTTTTTATTAATTTTATTTGTGATAAAAAATTTTATATTTTTATCGAAATTCTTTTATTAAGCAAAAAATTCCACAGCGATTGCGGTGCTATAAATTCGTATATATAAAAGTACGTAGATTTTTTCTTTTTACTGTCGCGTTTCCTATATATTTATATTCGAGTAAACTTCAATTGAGATTGTCGGCGCAACTTACACACCTCTATTTCTCGCGTTTTCGAATTCAGCTCGGCTTTGCTGTTGTCGTCCGGCTGGATTTGGGCGAAGCTGAAGTACGACGGTAGGATTTTATACGACAGAAGATTCTGATCTTGCCAATTGGCCTGATGCGACTTCTGCAATTCTTCAAGATGATTTCTCTTCGCCGCGGCGACTTCTGGTGTGTCCTGTATAGTTTGCAACTCATCCTTTGGTGGTTGCGGCAGATTGCTCGCGCTGACTCTAAATCCGTTCTTATCATCCGCCGTATACGAGACCGTTTGCAAAACTCCATTTGCATCAATATAGGAATATCCTGAGGGCACAAATAGAAATGATACTCTTCAACGATAGGTACTATTACATCTAGAGAACGTTTGTTCATGTAGGAACCTATTTACGTTCTAATCTATTACGATCTACTGTTATTAGTATATGTTATTTGCCATAATTATTGTGGCTGTTGCTTTAGTAAAATAGCATTAATTAGGTAAATCTTGTTTCAGTGATTACGTATATATTCACACAATTTCGCGCGCGCTACATTATGCATCGTGCACATATCGTGAGTCATCACATTGCAATCGAGAGAGATGCGATCCTAACTCGCAACCGCACATTGTCATCCGAAGAAATTTGCAGGGACATGCGGCGTATGGGCGTCTTTCTTACATCATGCTGATGAGCGTTAGCGAAAGATTCACTCGCGAACGTAGGCCGGTAATACACCTTTTGTAACACACTTCGCAAAAGAATGCATTCCATTTATGCACTTGCCGCACGCTCATTAGATCACGAATCGTGACAAGCTTTGTCATCCATTGAGAATAAATTTCGTTTTATGTTTAAAATATATATATAAAAAGCCAAAATATATATATAAATATATATATAATTAAAGAGCCAAAACCAGCTGTTTGAGTACACATAAATGTCTTTATTCTCATGTGAATAACAATAACAAAATCATAACCGACTTTAATTACATTTTTGAATAGGCTTATTTATATGTAATTTAGAATTAGATTTCATATTATAATATAAGGACCCAAAAAGAAGAATTGAAACGTTTATGATTTTATTATTGTTATTCACACGAGAATAAAGACATTTATGCGCACCCGAACAGCTAATTTT